CTACATGATTCCACCCAAGTTCTACCAACCGACAACTCACACACTATAGAGGGGCGACCAGAACCAGAGGCTCTCGCAGGACGCGGTCACTTCCCTTCAGGTAGGTCCCGCTTCATGTTACCCTTATATGACCTTAACTGCAGGGAGATCTCTTTTCTTTTCAAAGGATTCCTGGATACTCCAAACGGTTCGGGGTTTTCTGCAACCCCCACGCAACTATGTCCACCGCAACCCCTTCAGGTGTCCGCAGTTCATCATCTCATCATAGACGAAGAGATACAGTCACTTTTCGCCAAAGGGGCTCCCAGCGAGGTTGCCTTTATCAGCAACATCTTCCTGGTGCAGAAAAAGACGGGCGAATTTCGACCGGTCATCAACCTCTGACAGTTGAATACCTTCGTTGTTTACCGATACTTCAATATGGAAGGCATCCACCTGTTACGAGATCTCCTTTTGAAGGACGACTGGTTCACACGATTAGACCTAAAAGACGCCAACCTGTCGGTCCCCATCGCATCGCACTGCCGAAGAGTTCTATGTTTCTGCTGGGGAAATGTCACCATTTCACCTGTCTACCATTCGGCCTGAGCTCGACCCCCTGGTGTTTCACAAAACTACTGAAACCCGTCATCACGCGCATACGGTCTCTGGGAATACGGTGTCTGATCTATCTATACGACTTGCTGATATTCTGCGACTCTGCCTCACTACTGGTCTCTCAGATAAGATTTATCATGGACTTTATCGAACCGTTGGGATTCATAGTAAACAGGGAAAAATTGTCTCTCAAACCGGCTCAAGTTGTCGAGTTCCTGGGATTCGAGATCGACTCTAGGACATGTCTTCTACGCCTACCCCTGTCAAAAATTGCATTGATCCGGAAGGAAATCTGGAAAGTCCTACAATTGGAGCTCATCCCTTCACGACTCCTGGCACGTCTGGAGGGCCTTCTATCCACCTCCATACAGGCAATATATCCGGGCCCACTCCACTTCAGTTTTTTATGGGCAGGTCACTCCTACGACCAACTAATACCGATCACCATAGAGGTGCACAAGGAACTAAGTTGGTGGCTCCTTCATATGCAGGCCTGGAATGGAAAAGCAATCTGCTTTTTCCAATCTGTTGCTTAAGCATTTTTCATACTTTATTATGGTGACATCATTTTACAAATTTAACATGAATGTCTAGAGATACTGTCACTAGGGTACTGATGAAATATGGCCATTTCGCATTCTGAATACTGGCACCATACGGTGGATTTCATCTTCACACCTTGGTCGTTTCAAGCAAAGTTTGGATTACATAGGATCCACATCATTATCGGAGTTATGATTGTTGGACTTGTTCACTGGACTGTTCGTTCGCTACAAAGAAAGAGGAAGTGGAAGTGCAAATGCATCACAGAGCTATTTATAGCAGTGACTCTTGTTTTCTAATTGGTTTAAAAGTTTTGATTGATCTGTGCTGCTGGAGTTTTAGTAAAGAAAGATTATGCAAATATTCACCTTCTGTCATTACTAAAATTAAGATTATAGGTACACTAAATTAGCATAATCTACAATTTTGCTTACCGTAAATGTATTTTTCCTCAGGATTAGAGGCAGTACACATTTTCCCCCCTAATTGATACATTTATTTTTGCAGTTATTTGGCTTTTGTATGTTCTGAGGAAGGGAAGAGGAGTTAAGGGAGGGGACTAATGTAAAATATTCTATATATTGGACATGTATTTTACACTGAGGTGTGGTTGATCTTGAGTGACATGAACAGCTGGCAATAAGTGTTGTTCTCTATTTCTGAGTGTCCATGGAACATGTGATGACCGAATAGGGTTATTAGAATTGCCAACAAGCATATAGTATGGACTGTTTTTCTTACACAGCCATTTTGGTGGTGTATATATAGAATGTATTATCTGTGTAAGGGGAGTGTCTAGGAGAATGAGACACGGACACGGATCATCAAGGCAGAGTGTCTTCACACTCTTAATGTCCAGCATGTGCCATCAGCTGTTGACCTATTTAACATCAATGACAGTGTAAGTAGTGACGTATTTGCGAAACAAGAAGAATAAATCTTTTATAAGAAAAGCCAGGAAAGTCTGATTGCGTTATATTTTTAAGTGACAAAGAACTATAATATGCATGATAGTGAGCCACCCATCGACAAGAAAGAAGAATTTGCATATATATATATATATATATATATAAATAAGAATCAAGCAGAATAATTATTATAAGAGTCCATATGTACTACATACACACACACATTAATATTAATATATATATATATATATATATATATATATATATATTCACATACATATACACACACACACACAATATTTGAGCTTGGAACTCTCCTTGCGTTAAATTACATTTTCAGTCAGTCTGGGTGCCACCCACCCTATAATATAGATTCTGAAGAAAAAGGGTGCACACTCAGGACTTAAACATGCACACTCGTAGTTTAATGAAAAAACTAAGAAATTACATCTGCAAATAAAATTACCCTAAATGTGACTCAAGATTACAGAATGTAGTGCAATATGACAATATACAAGAGAATCACCAATCTCACCAATTATGTGAAGTGACTGCCTGCAGACTGATTCAAACCCGTTGGTTTCAGGAAGCCGCAAGTGACGTAATGACGTTCGTGGAAATGTCACATAACCCACCCTTGACCTCAGTAGTCTCCAAACCACTTTCAATTACTTCCTCCTTTGGGCTATCACAGTGGGTTAATTCTCCCACCCATGTAGCTGGCAATACCCGCGACCTAATTTTGTTTTATGCATGTACAGTGTCTAATATCTGGAACACTCCCTCATCCAACAATCTCAGCCTAACGCCCCTCAACTCAGGAGTAACCTTAATTCTATTGACCTCCTGCAGCGGTCAGCTGATATCGATTGCCAACTCATTCACACCTACCCTATCCTGTCGCTCACTGGCCATCTCCACATAGAACACTGCCCTCACCTCTGCCCTGAATGCTGCAGCCCCACTCCAAACATGCACCTTGAGGAAGACAAGGCACCAACCGTGGCAAACTAAATCAAAACGCTACCTGCAAAGATGCTCCCGTTGTGCTCAACGCTGCTGGAGGAAGTCTCGGACCCAATCAGACTTTCTCCATTATAGCTTTATATTGCATTTATACAGCGCAACCCTTGCCCTCGCCAAACAGTCATACTTTTCCTTTCGTTAGTTCATGCTCCCACAATCCCAGGTGTGATACCTTTAACGCTCTTCTTCCCCCTGCTGTGGCCATCCCCCAAACTAGCCTTACAGCAGAGAGCTTTGCATGCTACTTTACCAACAAGATTTAACAACCAAGGAAAAAATTCTCCCCATGCTGCTCCGCTCTTTCTCAACCACACGTATATGATGTATATCCTACCCTTCAAACTTTCTCCCCGGCTACTGAACAAGAGATGGCTGCACTACTCCTTTCCTCTCGCTCCACCACTTGCCTACTTGATCATGTCCCATCTCACCTTATCAGATCTCTCTCCCCTTGTTTTATGCCTTCCTTTTCAACTGGTCTCTCTTTCTCGTTTCTGGAGTTGTCCCTGCTGACCTTAAACATACTACTGTAAAAACCATCCTGAAAAAATAAAATCATCTCTTGACCCTTCCTCCCCTTGTAACTATCATCCAATATCCGTGCTCCCTTTGTCCTCAAAGCTTCTGGAAAGACTTCTCTTTACCTGTCTGGCTCACTTCCTCAATTCCAAAGCCCTTTTCAATCTGGTTTCCGCCCCATCCACTCTACTGAGACTGCTCTTATCAAAGTTACAAATGACCTAATCGCAGCTAAATCCAAAGGCCACTATTCCATACTAAATCTTCTTGACCTCTCTGCTGCCTTTGATATTGTTGATCATCTTCTTCAAACTATTCAATCACTCGGTCCCTGTGACACTGTCCTTGTGGTTTTCCTCCTATCTCTCCCAACACTCATTCAGTGTCTCTTTTTCTAATGATACCTCTTCCCTTTGTCCTGCATTGATTGGAGTACCCCAAGGCTCTGTCCTTGGTCCCCTCCTATTTTTATACTGCCTCTCTTGACAAACGTATTACCTAATTTGGATTCCACTACCACTTGAATGCAGATGACGCGCAGATATATCTCTCCTCCCCAGACCTTTCCTCTACCATCCTGCAAGATATACTTCTACTTTCGTTAACTCAATCTCTCTAAAACTGACCCCTCTTAATACTGATCATCCTCCTTCACCCTCCCTTCAAGTTAGTGATACCCACATCAGTCCATCCTTGCAAGCGCGCTGTCTTGGCGTTATTCTTGATTCTGGCCTCACCTTTGAGCCTCACATCCAGTCTATTACCAAATCCTGTAGATTCCACCTTAAAAACATAGCCCGCAAGAAACTGGGAATGCCTGCACTAGCGGCAACCCGAAACCTCCTTGGATCCGGCTAATGTCACACCCTTTGTCCCACGCACCAGAGGGGCACCAACACCAGTTCCATGAAGGTGACAGCCAGTCCACCGCTGCATTCCTCGCTAATGGCGGCTCAAATAATCATCGCCTCAACTGGGACACTGTACCAGACTGACACTCTACGACTGATCAAACCTGTTCTAATTGTTTTAGTCCAGTTTATGAATAGATTTCCCCACAATGGTTTGTATTGGCCCTGAATATATTTGTATAATGTTATCATATCCCCTGTGAGGCGACGTTTTTCTAAACTAAAGAGGTTTAAATTTGTCAACCTTTCTTCATTCATATTATTAATTTTGTAGCCCACCTCTGCACTTTTTCTAGTGCCATAATATCCTTCTTTAGAACAGGTGCCCAAAATGGCACAGCACATTCAATATGTGGTCTTACCAGTGATTTATAAAGAGGCAAAATTATATTCTCATCCAGAGAATAAATGCCCTTTATCATGCATGACAATACCTTACTGGCCTTAACTAGTGATGTCGCGAACCGTCCGCGAACGGTTCACCGCGAACTCCAGTCAGCTGACACATCCCTGCCAATCTCCGGCAGACCCTCCCTCCCATACCCTCCCACCTCCTGGACAGCATCCATGTTGAAGGTGCCTTCAACATGGATGCTGTCCAGGAAGTAGGAGGGTCTGGGAGGGACGGTCTGCCGGAGATTGGCAGGGATGTGTCAGCTGACCGGAGTTCGAAGCGAACGGTTCGTGGCGAACCGCGGCGAACCATTCGCGGCAAGTTCGCGGACGGTTTGCGACATCACTAGCCTTAACCACTGCTGATTGACTTTGCACATCGTTGCATAGTCTGTTGTCTATAACAATTCCCAAGTCCTTTTCGTGTGTTGTTATCCATAATTTGCGTCCATTAAGTGTATACGTTGCTTGTGCATTCTTTACGCCGAAGTCGATAACTGCATTTTCCAACATTAAATTTAATCTGCCATTTGAGTGCCCAGTCTATCTAAATTCCTCTGTAGCAAGGTAATATCATGCTTCCCTAAGGACACATGCCCAAAAGCATTAACACTAAGGTGAAACCGACCCCCATCTATCCCCTTTATTGTTAAATCTCCTCCTTTTAGACTATTGTAAAGCGCTACGGTATCTGTTGGCGCTATATAAATTCTAACAATACTACTAATAAATATTGTGGTTGTTAAGTAACCAGTGAAGCCTGTGAATCCCAGTCACCATAGAGACTGGGCGATAGAGTAATGCATAACATACAGTGAACAAAAGTGTATGGAATTAATAAAACCATCTAGGAGTAATATATGAAAGAAAAAAAAGAGGGTAGTAACAAGCCAACATGCACACAGAACGCAAGACTTATGAAACTTTGAGAATGGTGTGAAACATAGTGAAAACAAACTAGAACCACAGTGGATGTGAGTGATGAGAGTGATGTTCCAAGTGCATTAAAGTCACAACTGGCCACATAAAAGGGATAAATGTGTATAAACTACACATAGATAACAAAAGATTATTCAATGAAAACTACAGAAAAACAAATATATCCATCTATGTGTGTATATATATATATATATATATATATATATATATATATATATATATATATATATATATATATATAGTGGAAATAAGGTCTGCACATATTTCCTAGTTAGTGAAAATGTCTATTTACTCATTCCATGATATACAATATAAGCTATGCACACATGATTTAATTAAGATGGCTGCTAGAAGCTTCTAACCCCTCCTCCCCCTCCCCTTAACACCAACTACCTCGTGCAGCAAGATGGCGCCGGGAAACCGTGGGAGGCCCTCATGGTCCTGGTGACATCACCCTCAGTAGGCAGAGCATTAGGAAGACCACTTAACACCTAACCAATTATTGATGTATTATTCCATGTTATCTCTGACAATGCTTATGATGTAATTTTGCTTTAAAAGGGACCTGCCGTCCCCTCTGAATAAACATTCCTCAAGTTATTCAACAACCTGGAACTTGTGTCTGGTGTGAATTACTTCAGGGAGCGTGCACACATTGTTTCATTGATTTGGCCAGGGGCAGATACACAAAGAAATAATCAATACCTTGATTGATTTTTCCATTTCAATATTATATATATATATATATATATATATATATATATATACACACACACACAAACACACACATTATATATATATACACACACACACATATATATATATATATATATATATATATATATATATATATATATATATATATATATATATATATATATATAAAAAGAAAGAGAAGACTACTGCCATAGAGATGAATGTATAATGTTAAAAATTAACTTTTAATGATACAATTAAAATTAAATTGAAAAACAAATTAATTTGATAAAATCTCGATATGCCAAAAGGGAATATAGAGAAATACACAAAAGACAAACAAGTGGTTGTAATATCTAGATTGTTAAATGCACAAAAGACAAACAAGTGGTTATAATGTCTAGATTGTTACAAATTCATCACTTGATACATAGTCAACAGACAGATAGTATATAAATTGTTGCAAGTTGATAGTTTCACTTTACTTATGCTACAATATATATACTATCTATAAGAGGTAGACAGGAACAGAAATATAAATTGCTTAGGAATTATATATATCCAATATCATCATCATGGAACTAAGCAAAATTAATTAGTTAAATTCCCAATGTAAACCCATAAAAAGTTTTCCAAAAATCTGACTGTGCCTTCATGGGCACCTACCTCAAAAAGAAAGACTAAATTAGCTAGCTATCCAAAGCCCTGTGAAGAAGGAAAGAGGGTGAATAAAGAGGTGAATCTACTGAATGCCTTGATAAGCGTATAACTGTGCACAATTACTTAATGTTATAATCAAAGATCACTTTTTGTTAATTGACTATGGTCAGAAAAATACTGAGCTATATAAAAATTGGTAGTTAAATACAGGCTAAGGTAGTTCGAAAAGGGGAGCAATCTCCCAAAAACCCTGATGCGCGTTTCGCCGATAAGGCGGCTTTTCAAGGGGAACTGAGTTGCTGTCGACATAGATTTAAATACGGCGCTCTATGATGTGATTGGTGGTTTCAAAAATGACGTCATACATTGTGGCTACCTGTGTACGGTGGTCGGAAAAGGACATAACACCTCTTGCATGAGAATAAGAGGTTCCATTATGTGTTTGCTACAATAATTGTAATAATATATCGAGTATGGAGTAGTAATAATGTTATGCCTTTATTTCTATTTGCATTAACCAATATGTCAATATAAGTTCTTAATAGACATTAAAACCACAGGATAAATAACTCTACATTAAGAGCGCTGTAACGGACCGTTTTGCCCACAAGAGGTTAAAAACCGTTTAGGCGATCTTCCCCTTTCAGATGCACAGACAGCTCTCCTGAACTGCAAACACACGAATACTGGAAACAGCCGAATAGGAAAAACCATGCGAATAGGTTTACACTCCTAGCAGTCAAACTGGAACAGCATACAATAAATCCTCCCCCAATAATGAGACGACACTTCACTTTGAGGGTTAAGCAGGAACTCACTTGTAATGGCCACACACTGGCTTTTATGCAAGTCCCCATGCAAGGGGACATCCCACAGGGTGGGACACAGTACAACCAATCGTTTACAGGAGAACCATAAAACACATCTACATTTACATCACAATCCCTCCTCTCTGTCCAGGAGATAATTGTGAAGTAATCCAATTATCTCCCAGGACAGAGGCAAGACTCCATTAACCACATGGCAGTAACAATACAATAAAAGACGTAAAATTACATACAGTTACATTTATTCCATCAAACATAGACATTCTAAATATCCCCAGATAGCTTAGATCTGAGTGCACATTACTACCGAATGGCACTCAAATCACATAAATACAGTTCAATCGCCATGGAGCCAAAGTCTTTCATACAGTCTTTCAGTATACGGCTGGGCTCCATGGCATAGCTATCTGGGGTAGCATGGCTTTAACAGTCCGCAGAAAGGCACGAATAAACCTTTCTGCCAGTAAAATAAAAGTTTAAAATGCAGGACCATAGTCTAAAGGGAGCAGGCGAGCAACCAGGCCTCTCCAGTGGACAGTGGCGAGGTTGGTTCCGCCACACTTCTCCCCTTTACCAATCAGACTAACAGGGTATCTGACTTCCTGCCGGTCAGTGCCCTTGTTAGTCCAGCCGCCCACCCACAAAACACAATCAGTAATACAGTCCACCCACAATAACTGGTTACTACACCTGGATAAAGGAGAACTTTGTCCATGTCCAGGTGCCTCACCATGGATGTGTGGGTGACTGGTAAGAGGACTGGGTGGGTTGCTGAGTGAGCAGAGACCAGCGGTACTCTGCCCTGGTGCCAGCACTACCACCTGAGTAATCTGGTGAGAGCCTGGTTACTGGAGGGGGAGACCGACTTTCTCCCCTTTAGATACACAGCCCTGTCGCTGGGGGGCACAACCGGCTGTCTCCCCTTTGGATGCTTCCGGGGAACAGGACCGACCGTCCCTAGCCCCTGTGAGGCATGTGCAGAGATCACGGTCCCATCTGCACAGGTGTGGGGCTTATCATCTCCCCTTGGTGGGCTAGGCTGCCGCTGGGCAGAGGGGGTAACAAGTTCATCTCCCTTGCCCACTTTTTGTAGCTGGGGAGAGGGAATGACAAGCTCCTCTCCATGACACTCTCTCTGCTGGTGGAGGGGGGAACCGACTGTCTCCCCTTTCAATATATTGTCCTGCTGCTGGGGGCCGAGACCGCCTGCCTCATCTGCCCCATCTGGGAGGAGAGGGTCTCCCCTTTGTGACATAAGCTGCCGCTGGGAAGAGGTGGTCACCGACTCCTCTCCCTGGAATCCTTTCAGCCGCTGGGGAGAGGGGGTAGCAGGTTTTCTCTCCCTGACACACTCTCTGCTGGTGAAAGGGGGAACCGACTGTCTCCCCTTTCAATATTTTGTCCTGCTGCTGGGGTGCGAGACCGGCTGTCTCTGCTCCTGGCAGGACACTCTGCCGCTGGGGAGGAAGGACGGCACCTTCATAAGCTCCCTGGAGAGGAAGGACGGCACCTTCCTCTCCCTGTAATACACACTGCCGCTGGGGAGGAAGGACGACATCTTCAGCTCCCTGGGACACACACTGCTGCTGGGGAGGAAGGACGGTACCTTTGGCTCCCTGGGACTCACTTGACTGCTGAGGAGAGGGACCAACTGTCTCCTCTCCTAAGAACACACACTGCCGCTGGGGAGGAAGGACGACACCTTCAGCTCCCTGTAACACACACTGCCGCTGGGGAGGAAGGACGACACCTTCAGCTCCCTGTAACACACACTGCCGCTGGGGAGGAAGGACGACACCTTCAGCTCCCTGTAACACACACTGCTGCTGGGGAGGAAGGACGGGACCTTCAGCTCCCTGGGACTTGCTCGGCCGCTGGGGTCTCTCCCCCCTGGCTAAATCTGCTTTTAACTGCAGGTACTCTACCACTCTTCTCCTTGTGTTTTGTACATATTTCTCTTCTGGATTGGGTCCGAAGAAAGCCAGCAGGCTTTTCAGCATAGCGTTGAACTCCTCCTGAGTGTAGCTGGGCGCCATGCTTGCTCTGCTGAAGTTGGCTCTTTTGTAGATAGGGTCACTGTACGGGTACTAGCGTTACCCTCAATTTTTAAGTCCAGGGAATGGTGTTACCTTGTAGCTGTCCTTCTGG